CCACTATATCTTTTATGTACTTAGCATACTTTGGAATTTCACGCAGTACATCAACGAGTGGAATATTTAATTGAACCTGGCTCAACATGGAGAGAAATTTGCTGAACATGCGATCATCATTCTTTTTCTGCAATCTCTGAGGGAAAGGTGGTGGTGGCCTTGTCTCCACTGGCTCTGGAATTGCATCAGTATTCTTTGATTCATGCGTTTCCTTAGGTATCAACTCCCCCTCGGGTGTGGCCTTGTCTTTTCTTTTCTTTGGCACTTCCTCCAGCTCCCCCCCCCCCCCNCTTGAGGATTCTTTTCTGTATCACTGGGGAGAGGGACTGCAGGTCTGGTGTTTTGATTCGTTGCCAACTGCCCCATTTGCCTTTCAAGATTTCTGAAATCGGTTCTGAGCTGCTGATTGTCAAGCAACAACTTCTTTAGCAAATCATTTATACTCTCTTCCATTTGTTGGGGTGGCTTCTGAGGTGGATTGAAATTCCCTTGGGGTCTATAATGATTCTGATTCGGCTGATTTCCACCCTATGAGAAGTTGGGATGATTCTTCCAATTTGGATTGTAAGAATTCCTGTATTGTGCATGCTGATTCGGTGGACCTCTGTTCTGCTGCCCCACATGGTATATGGGTTCAGGATTTGTGGGGCACATGTCACTCATATGATTGTCACCACATAATTCGCAGCAAATAGCCATTTGGTGAGCATGTTGCATTGTTTGTGGTTGCTGCATTGTCATCCTAGTCATCTGATTGGCCAACTTTGCAATATCGGCTCTCATGGCTGACAAGTCATCGAGCTCAAGTAATCCAGCTGATTTTTGCTTAATTGCCTTTCGTGAATCACCCTCACCTTGTCAATTATGATCATTAGCAGTGAAGTTATTTAGCAAGAATTGGATTTCACTGTACGGTCTGGCCATGCAACTACCCCAACAAGCTGAATCAAGATTCATCTTTGATGCATCATCTAACCCATCCACGAAAGTGTGACCCAATACCTCATCAGTTTGACAATGATGTGTACAGTCTCTGAGCATCTTCTTGTACCTTTCCCATGCTTGACGAAGTGTCTCGCCATCTCGTTGTTCGAACCCAAGAATTTGACTCCTCAATATCTTTGTTTTCTTAGTGGGGAAAAACTTGATTAAGAATTTCCTTGCTAGATCATCCCAAGTGTGGATTGAGTTTGCGGGCTCCTTATGCAACCACTCCTTAGCGTCCCCAAGCAGTGAAAAGGGGAAAAGTGTCAGCCTGACGTAGTCCTTGGAAACATTTGGATAATTGTAAGTGTCCATGATTTCCAAGAAATTCTGAATGTGCCTCTGCGGGTCTTCACTAGGTAGACCCACATATTGCCCTGTGGACTGGATCAGCTGCACCATGTATTGTTTGAGTTCAAAGTGCCCTGTGATATCAGGCTTCACAATAGCCTGAGTCATGTTAGCAAGACTGGGCCTTGCGGCTTCAATCACCGCGCGTTCCTCATTCCCTGCCATCTCTATTGGCTGTGGTTGGACTATTATGTCCAACTCTCTTTCAATTCTGGTTCTTGCGTCTACTTCCCTCCTCACTCTGTGAAGTGTTCGTTCAATCTCAGGATCAAGGGGAAGTAGATTTTTTGTGCTTCTACTCCTCCGCATTCAAGAGAAGAGCATGTGTTAACACAAACAAGGTAAACTGAAATTAAAGCTTGAACAAATAATTAATGAAAGCTTAACTCAGTCAAGTAGCTAATTTCTAAGTCCCCACCAGCGGCGCCAAAAACTTGTTGCGATCAAAACACTCACGCAAGTGCACGTGATCGTCAAGTAATAAAGTAGTGAGTAGAGTATCGTTCCCACGAAGACTGTGATTAACTATTGACTGATTCAAACTCAATTAACTTATCGATCCAAGAGATTTTCCACAAAATATAATCGTCTCTAATCTACTACCTAAAAATATCAATTAATGAAACAACTAGAATACTCAACCAACAACTAGCAATTTCGAATAACAATTAGTAGGGGAAAATATTCCAGGGTCACAAGCTAGCTAACAATCGTGTTGCGTTCTCGGCTTAAAATAACTAATTGATTTATCTGGATTGTTGATTGACAGGGTTGATAATACTCATAAGGTTCTTTCGACTCCTTACTCGCCTATTCAAATTAACTTAATGCCTATATGTCTATGGAATTAAGATTAACAAGAATGCATTTATAATTCCTGTATTTCAACCAAGCAAGGCTATTAGGTATATGTCTATCCTAATTGCGAATCTGTTCCCCGATGCCTAAGTTCAAGAACTTGCTCTATTTGATTCTATATGCAATCTAGAGTTTTCACTTTCGAGTTCAACTATAGATTCGTATATAGTATTTCACTATTAGCTACTCAGCAAAATAATTGAGAACAGAATTAAATAAACAACCCAATATGATAGAATCAACTTCGTCAAATTAAACTTCAAACAACAACATTCATGTTTCACCCATGACCCTAGAACAATAGGTTTTAGTCACTCATAGTTTTGTTCATCTCAATAATATTCAATATCATTCAAATTGTAAAAACAAAAGGAAGAAAAGAAGAACTTGATGTTGGAATCTCCTCCTTGCCTCTTGCCTCTCTTTTTCTTGTACTAAACTATGAAAACCTTGATATCTAATCCTTGGACGAGCTTGACTTTATATAGGTTAAGTGAAATTTCCTCCAGATTTCCAATTTTGCCCCTAACAAGTCTTTTCCGGAACTGGAACTAGCGCGAACGCGCTAATGCTCGCGCTAGTCTACTGAGATTCTGCCTCCCGCATCTGGACTAGCGCGATCGCGCTACTGCTCGCGCTAGTCTGGATCTTTATTTCCTCGATTTTTTTTGTCTAGTCTTCGCACACACTCAGCTCCGAGGAATATTTCTTGCTCCAAATTAGCTCCAATCGCAACTTTGAGGCATCACATAGGCTCCTCATCCTGCAATGTGTAAAATTCACAATTAGAGCCCATTTTTCACCATTTAACCATATTATGACATTGGAATATAATCAAGCGGGAGCATAAACAATCGCCAAATTAGCTAGATCTAGCCTATTATCAAGGGTAATTTACTAAACATGAACATTTAGGGTAATATAGTTTACTATATGGCATAGGAATGTAAAAATCCCTAAAAATTTTGGGGCCCTCAAGAGCTTGGGGCCTAAAGCAAATGCTTTATTTGCTTGGCCCTTCAGCCGCCCCTGTACGTACACTAATGGTATAAAAAATAGTTTATACTATCAATAATTTTTAACCTATTATAACATATTAATTACTTTTTTTTCCAAGTTGCTAATTCTATCTATTAATTATGAGTACTGAGTAGTTACCTGTTGTTAAAATCTTTTAGGTAGTAAAACGACATTACTATTGTTTTTCAAACTCAAGATAGAGAGATGGATGCATGGTATGACTTAGTCAACCAGTCTTCCCGGTCCCCAGAGGGGATTTCTATCACGTGTATTGGGTGGGTTCTTCGAGACTTGAAACAACTAAGCGGGCTTTTGGACATAAGAATTGTAAAGTTCTGGATAGACCGGAGTTTTTTGCAGTTGAAAATTAGAGTTTGTGTCTGAATATGAATACAATTTGGAGCTATTTTTGAATTTTTGTGAGTGCTTTGAAGTGAAAATTTTGAAAAACAACTGTTTAGAGTTTTTAAATTTCGAAATTCATCTTCAAGTGAAATTTAAAAATTTTATGGCCAAACGCCAGATTCCGGAAAAAATGAAAAAAAATATTCGGAAAAACTTATGGCCAAACTGGCTGTAAATGTTTCATACTTGCTTTCCTCCTTTTTGTAATCTACTTTTACGGAGGAAATGATATCCTATACCTAAGAATAGAAGAAATGACCGTACAAATATCTGCCAGTCTATATGCTCACAAAAAAAGAAAGGTCAATTGATTAATTTGTAAATTATGCTACGATAATTCTCAAGTTTTTCTTGAGATTTGGCAACTATTTAACCTTAGTTTAATGAGTAAAGAGGGAAGCTTATGAAGAGTAAATCTGTGTCACGATTTCAAAAGAATAATTTATAGCAATGAATGAGGTGTATAGTCAATGGTTTTACATTTCTTATATATAGACTTGGAAAGCACGTACAAGATGTCAAGACAATAATCAATATGCAGAAGTTGACTAATGAATAAAAACCTTGCCTTGCTTCCCAAGTATATGTCATACATGTTGTCATATACACCCTGCTGGAAAGGCCAAGGGGACACAAAAACTGAAGGGTTGTGACATTGTTTCTAGGCCCGGCTTGACCTTTTTTGGGCTATCAGCTACTAGCATATTGGACCATTTGGCTACTGAGTACATGGATCTTGATGATGATGAATTTTACCATGGTGCTGATAATGTTGCTTAAAGGCAACCATAACTGGTTGTTGATTCCGATTGCTCACCACTTACAGTAGAAATTGAGGAGATAGATAATTGTGATGACGAAAGAATGAATTTTTGTAACGTGGGAGTTGTGTGGGAAAGGTCGAAGAAGAGGGAGATTCGTGTTTGGTGGAAGAAATGTGATTTAGTCCAATGACTTGGATTAATGTATTTACTGTCGAATAAATTATTGTACTTTGATTTTTTTTATGTTGAATTGATTTTACTGTATAAGTAAAACAGTTCTTCGTATCAGATATATATAATGTATAGCTTGAGTTACTGGACATGCTCGAGCATGTTCATGTGAGAAATAATAAAGCAGGACTACGTTTTAGTTATATATAAACGTCTTTGTATTATGTAGCACAAAATGAAGCAGTTCAGTTGAGAAACATGATTTGATTCAAAGGTTGGTGCATGGATTAGGCACTAGATTGAAAAAATATGAAGTAGTTGCATCAGTTCATGCTTAAAGAAATAATTCAAATTTGTGTAACAAAAAAAGGAAATTTTGAAAGACAGCATAAGTTTAATATTTTAGGCATGCATTTCTCTCTGATACTTAATTGAGCTGGTTTGAACTTCACCCTGAAACTTTGTAGAATTTTACTATATGATGTGAAAAGGCACATACTAAATGGAACAATGTTCACACTGGAAAACTTAGCCTAAACACCAGGATTCAACTCTTCAAAAAACAAATAAGGGGGATCCCTTGCATATAGATAGCTTTAACACAAGATACACAAGTTGCTTCTATATGACTATGTGTTGATATACATCATACATCTCTGAACATTCAATTGGGGGAAACTCCAAATTGATGTTGAATATTTGGGGATGCATTCTGATCATGAGACAGTACCATTGGCAAGGTTTGAGAATTTAAAGGTTTTGAGCTATTCTTCTTTCCTGAATTCTTGTAAGAGCGCTTCTTGGTCGAATATGTAGAAGGTGGCTGCGATACCATAGTGCTGTTACTGGGCTTTGTTCCAGGTTTTGGTGACTGAGAACGTTTTACTGGAGTCTGCACCAAATAAACCATATGAACCACTGTCCCAGAGGGAAGAGCATGGATAAAACCAGAACTACACAAAATATGAATTCAGAAGGTACTTGTGGAGAAAAATGTTGATTATGATGATCGGATCAGTTCATTGCTTAGAGTACTTTAGACTAATAGAAATAAAAAGAAAACAATTGGTTGATCTAGTTAAATTCATCATGACCATGTATCATGACATGTTTTGACAGTGGGGGGGAAAATTGGTTTTTTAGGAATATCTGAATTGGAAGTATAAACGATTATAGTATTACCTTTTTTGTGTAATTTTTTGCTGTTTCTCTTTCCTGGTAAAACTTAGGCAGGGGACGAGCTCTGAAACAAAAGCTTTGTCGAAGTTTCCTAATCTCCATTTCAGCTTTCTCCTGCAAGCAAAAGGGCATTCATTCCAAGTTAATTTGCTTTGCAACTGAAGAAATCATAAAGGCACATTAAAGAGTTAAGTGGTTGGGAAGCCAATAAAGAAAGAAAAATTGCACAAGCCAATAAGAAGCTCAGGAAGAACCTTGATTTTTGTTTGTAGCTGAACTTTCTGTACCTCCTTTGCATTGAATTTCTCCTCAAGCTTCTGAAGCAAAATTACAGGCATAAGATGGGATTGGACCTAAGAAAGGCAAGGAGATAGTCCGGATCTGAAGATGCCAAAACATGTAAAAAAAAAAAAAAAGGCCTTACCTGTTTCCTTCTTGCAGCTCTTTCTTCTGTCCTCAGGAGAAAAGGAGTGGATAAACTAGGTGATTGTAATTTGTTACGGCAGGCTGTGAAAGACTTGGGACAACTGAAAATACAAAGGTCAGTGGCACAACAAACTGACAGAATCATATAATCTCCATAATTCAACTTGGATTCATGCACAGCTTTTTCCACACACCTGGTATATGATGGATTTATGCACCATTTCTTATTTGGCATATAGATTTTGTGCGCCATAAAGAGTCATTTGACTATGTAGTTTCAACTTCCACTCACTTATTAACAAGACTAGGTCTGTCGGCTGTCTGAATATAGACCTATGTTTTAATAGAATCAAACCTAAAATTCTACGACAGCACGGTGCACTAGGCATCCCGCGTTCATTTAGGGTCCGGGGAAGGCCGCACCCCAAGGGGTATGATATAGACAGCCTACCCTAATGCAAGCATTAGTGGCTGCTTCCACGCCTCGAACCTAAAAGGTCATAGGGAGACAACTTTTTCGTTGCTCCAAGGCTCTCCCTCAACCTAAAAATCTAGTAGAAAGAATATCAAATTATTTATCTTTCTTTATGAATTACAACTTTTTCGATAGAATAATTCTAATGCCAACCTATGTTAGCTTTCATCCACTTGAATTTATAAATGAAAGGAATCGTATAATGGTAAAGTGCATTGACGATTACTGGAATGTCGTATTAGCAGTTTTACATGTTAACTCAACGCCCTTCTACCAAGATTTTGCTGTCTTAATATACATGCAGTCATCTACTGCCCCTAAAAAGTTAAATCTAAGGCTATTATTTCGAAGATATACTTACACAGCTGACAAAATATTCCATTTATGACCGGCTGTTTGACTTCCTGAAGCTGTCGGATGAATTGGTGTTGTCATGCTGTAAGGCAGTGGGAAGACAAAAGAACCAAGTTAGTGGTTGTTGCTGGAGTGAAATTCATGCAGTAATTTTGCAGTCAGAAAGCTCATATTGTCTTAATATCATAATAATTATATACCTTCTATTTTCAGAAGATGGGGTTGTCATGGGACGTTTGGATGCGCCATCTGAAGTTGCCTGCAGGTGTAAAATGAACAAACCTTAAGCAAGTCCAACAAAATTATTACGAGTTTAAGTTCTATGCATCGATGGTGTAGATCATTTATAATATAATTACAGGTCTCTCTCTTTAACAAGCATTAATAGTAACCAGAAAAATATACTCTAGTAAGTTACTTGCTATCAGAGGTTACACTATAGTGTTGGTGAAAAAAATTTAGGATTAGCATTTAGTAAATGAGAGATAAATAAGCAGAGAAAAGTGAGTACCACAGTATTCTTGAGAGGAGTTGCACACTTCTTAACGGCATTGGGGGCGACCTTTGAACTTTCCTTCTTGAGGGTGGTAGGAGGGGGAGGAGGCACCTTATCTGGCTCTTTGGCAGGGGTGAAATTCATCAATTTGCTTAAGGAATTTGAGGTTGATCTCTTTTCATTCGTCAAAACTGACGTTTGATTCTTTGCGAATGGAGTGAAATTGTTTTCTTTATTGACATGAGGAGGAATGTTATGCCTAACTGGTGAAGATGGGAGTTTAGATTTTATAGAGTGAACGGATGATTTGAATGAAGAAAAAGCTGATCTTTTCTTGCTCGTAACACATGTAACATCATCATCGTCTTGCTTAGAGCTGGAACTCTGTTGAATCAATGATGAGAATCAGTTTCCATATACAGTCAAATCTCTACAATAGTCTCATATTTTTTGGATGCTATAATGAAGTGTTGTTGTAGAAGGACATATATTATAACACAACATATAAATCGATTCCGAGAAAAACTTGGCATTTATAGTGAATGACTATTATATAGAGATGTTGTTATAAAGAGGTCTGACCATACTACTAGCATATTTTATATCAATCAATCAGTTAATCAATTCTCAAGAAATCGACTAAGTTTCAATCTCAACTGTTTGATCAGCTAGGTGAATACTCTATAGCCATTCTTCCCTATTAGAAGCCATTTCAGTCAAGTAAGTACTAAGTGGTAATTATTTCTCTAAAACTAGAGGCTCTCGACATCTCATAGACTCACATGGACAAGTTATTAACCAAACTACAAAATTCTTGAGTCTTGACACATATAAATATAGTACAATTAATAATAATAGCACCACTAAGGTGTGGCGGGACGAGTAGGATCCCTCCGCCAATAATCAGACGGCTCGAACGGGTGTGATTGGAATAACCCACTCTTTAATGGGCTGATGGTAGGCTAGAATCTCATGTTTTAGTCGTAGTTTGCACTCTAACTACTGCATTTTACTTTTGTGTGAGCTTAAATGATAGTGCATTGCACTTATTACGTGTTTTATGCCTTGCAGGAAGAGATTCATAGTTAAGAAGATAATCTGGAGCTAAATCGAACGAGTTGGAGCTTTTGAAGTCTGAGTAAAAGTCCAAGAAATTAAACCGGGATCGCGTTCGATGGTCGGAAGCCAAGCCTGGATATCAAAACGTGAAGAAAAAGAATTACTCTCGGAAAATGGCACAGCCGCGCCGTGTGGGGCGCCGCATTATCATTATCATATCCAGAAGAAACCAACTCTTCTAATCTCTAGTTCTTTGTAGTCAAGTCAATTGCTTTACTTTAATAGTTGGGCCAGTAGGCACCGGATATGGTTATAACAATTCAACAACTTACTACGAAGAATAGAAAAACCATACATAGAGCTGTGTAGTTCATATTTACCTTCACCTTGAGCAAAGGTTTCTCCGTATGAGAGGTTTGAGTAAGCTCTGATCCTGAAATTGTTTCTTTGTTCTCACGCACAATACCATTGGTTAGTTCTTTCTCTGGAGCAACAGGAGTTAAAGGACCCTTGTGTACTGGAGCAGCATTTTCTGCTGTTAAAATATTTGGTGTGATTTCTGCATCGGGGTCTTGTTCAAGCAAAGCAGCAGCCTTTTGGGCAGCAATTCTCTTGAAATGAGCTTCAAAGAAAGCTTTCTTTTGGGCAACAGAACCTGGTTGGGCATACCTCTCTGCTTCCTCCACGTAGCGTTTGTGAGAGAACGTCGACCATTTATCCCATGCTAATGATTCATTCGTAAATCTCCCAAAAGAAATGGACTCCCCTAGAGCATGCATGCGGTTCCCCTGTATTTACAACAAAGAAGAACCTTTCAAAGGAAAGCTATGAAGAAAGCAAGAAACTGTGTGTGTGTGTGTGTGTGTGTGTGTTAAGTATTGAATAAAACAAGAGTAATAGTACCTGTTTAGCTTCATTGGGTATGGCAGAAGCGTAAGAGAAGGCTTGCATAAGACAAGCTGAATCTCCCATTCTAATTTCTAAGACGACAAGCTACAAAACAAACTTAGGAACCTGGAACAGTACTAGAATGTTACCAGAAAAAATTACTAGGATTATTGTACTGCCGTTTTTGTTTTTCTCCCTTAATTTTTTTATTGGCATGTAATTTCTGTTAACTCTCTGTATGGATCTGAGCATTTAAATTTGAAATTCAAATAGAAAGAAAAAAAAGGTGTAAAGAGGAACGTTGTTTAAAGGTAGGGGACCCTGCTAGCTGGTAGGGTAGGGAAGGAAAAAATCGAGGAAAAGAGAAGTTGTGCTTGCTTGACCAAGTCAGAAAGCTTAGGTCTTTTTTCAGCTGAAGACGTAGGGCCCAACTTTTGAACTTGATCATACTTCAAAGTTGAGAAATTGCAAGTGACAGATGATTTTCCGATTAATGTTGTCCCACAATTTGCTTCTCTGAATGTTACATCTTAACGAATATATATTTTGGATAATTTGTGAATAATCCAAATATACTACTTAGCGAAGGAGTAAAAAATCTTCATGGTTTAGGTAGATTTATAATCATCATCTTAAAGGAACGACACAATAGAGCAAGTAGAAGAAAATGTAAAGTGGTGCATTGAGTGCTCCTCCGAGAAAATGGAAAAGATTGTTTTCAAACATTTTCTTGCACATGGTTTGTCACCAATTTTGTGTTTCTCATTAGTGTTTATTTTTTGTTTCCCAAGACGTGCTTCTTTACAAAACAATGTTATTTGAGAAATTAGGCAAGAGAATTTTCATGTCACTTGCCACAGGGCTGAACCACCAGCTGTTACAATGTCATCCTTTCAAGTGAAAATCTGGAGTTAGCTGCTTAGCTTAGGCCTTAGGATACCATTTGAATTTTACCAAGAGTGAAAGAGCCATATCAAAAGAGCTGGACCCAAGCAAAGGCCATAATTATCAATTGCTATTGCTGGTCAATGTTACAAATATTATCAAGCATATGTTCTCTTCACGAAAAAGAAAAGAGGATAAAACCATATGTCAAGCTTCTACGTATTACTTCGCTTTGAACTAAAAAAATATTGGTTGTTAATATTGCTTGATTTGGAGGCTTCTTAAAAAATTTGTGTACATTAAGTAAAACAGAGGCAACAAATGAGAGTATCAAAAACCAAATTAGATCTATTTCTAATCCCCTTTTCTTACTTATAGTTTTCAGAATTTATGGCATATTTGAGAATGACCCAAAAAATGAGGATATTCCTTGCCATATTTTTTTTCTCTATCGTCCCGTCAAGCTTGTCTTTGTAACATCTGACACCCTAGACTTTTCTTTCATAATTGTTTAAAGCTAAAGATCTTCAACTACATATTCCTTGCAATGTAGTTTCTTTTGAAATAGCAGAATTTCATTGCTCAAAATATGCCACAAACTCGCCAGCAGAAATGACAATATATGGACTAGTCATCGTCATGCCTTACCATAGCCTACTTACAAGGCTGGTCATTGTCCTGCCACTTTGAGTGTGTGTCCTCTAACCATCACCCACATATAAGATTATGGGTTGTTTTAAAAATCACTTTCTTCTAGGAGGATCCCGGCTCAGTCCATGTTTCTTTAGAGTTTTGACGTAATTTCTCATGAGAGTGAACTTGTCGCTTCCAAGATGGTAGAGGTAGTCCCACGTGAAGATGCCAGTCTTATGCAAGTCATCAAACAATAACCTATATGGAACCACATGGAAGAAATGACAAAGAAAGCAAACGAGACTTCATACTGAAGACAAAAGTATGCTCTTTTATTACCTCACCCCATAATTTCCAATAGGTTCAGCAGACATGATTCCCACATGTCGCCTCCCAGATATGACCTGATCCATAAGCATATAAAAGTGGAAAAAGTTGAGTATTATAAGCATTCTTCAAAGAGTAGATAAAGCTACAACGATAATAGTTTAAACTTGGTAACTGAATGGTAGCTTATGTAGCTTCATTGGTCACTGTTATAAGATTAGTCCAGTAAAAACGAACAGGATGATGAACTCTCTAATATGAAACAGCAGAAGTACTTATAAATCATTCAGGTATGGTAAGAACTAAATGTTCATCAAGTTACCTTCTCACCACCAACTGATCTGATCTTACTATCAACAGCTGGGCTATATATCCTCAAATACTCAGCTGACAAATTATACAGATTACCATTGTCAAACTCCACCTCTACCTGGAGAATATTTACCAGACAACATGTCAGCCCAAATTCTACAATATCAGAAGCACATAGTACACAAACTTTCAGATTTTTCCAACAATTGAAGTGAACATGTGAAATTACCTACGATTAGAGACTAAATATGAGTGAATTCTTACAATTAGAGAATTTTCCAAAAGAGCAGCACACCACCATTCGAGTGTTAAATAAGTGGCACAACACTTTTCCAGAGTAATAACGCTGGTTACTTAAACTGACATCTTCAGTCCATTTAATAAGGTTAATGAACTGTCTTGAATATCAATTCATTCCTTCTACAGTAAAAAATAAAAAGGAAATGCTTTTGAATTGCTCCATTCAGTTCAGAGAATTCCCATAGGACTCAATTTTAAACCAAAAAATTGTACTTGTAATTCAGGTTATAATTGAAACAGGCAAGATCAGAAGAAACTAAAATTCTCAGTAAAATAAACAATGATGGCCCGAACGCCCACATGCCTCGAACCTAAGCACATAATTCTAATAAGCGTGTATGTTAAAAATAAAGTGGCAATTTACCATGAGATATACTTGTCAACAATTAGCCCAAAATTTCTCCTACAGTTCGAGTCAGAACAGAGTTTAACAAATTCCTCTTTAATTTAAAATCCAAGACAAGCATGATCACCATAAGAAGTTGTGTTAATCATCCAATGAAGACAAAAGTAAAGAGGAAGTAACTTTCTGGAGAAGTAGTATCATCAGTATTCTACTTTATATATAACTTCGATTGATTCTGCTGGACCAATTGCACATTTTTAGTACTTTTAGTGATTCTCTCCACTCATAGGCATACTATATTTCTTGGGAAAAGTTGTTTCAAGTGGAAGCTAAAGAATGGTAGTAAGTTTTTCTTAGCCAAGTTATAAGTTGGCATAAACTTAAAAGCAGGCCTCGGGATTGTTTTGAGCACAAAATATGAGGCAGCAAGACTTTCATTGAGCACACTTATATGAGTAAGGGATTATCTATCATTAGCTATTTGATTGTTCGCGTACCAACTGATAAACATTCCTCTAAGCGTAGTTCTGGACAGTAAGCTACTTCATTGGTCTTTTTGGCCACAGAATCAGCTCACAAACTGATACAAAATGCATATTCAACAAGATTCACCTTTGAAAGGAACCTACTTTTGTAGTTAGACAAATAGTACCACTTAACCCCTATATCATAGGCAAAACTTGAAGTTAATGGACCCCAAAATTCCAAGAAAGACATGATAAACTCAGAAATAATTAACTTTATTCTCTCAAAGCAGCTTCTAAACTCCGAATCAAACAACTGCACCTCAATCACAAATTAACTCTTTTTTCTCTCAATTTGGGTTCATTTCATTTCAATACTAGAAAAGAAAAGGAACATATAGAAGGAGAAAATCAATAAGAGTGAGAAACATACAAACTTAGGAGGGTGAAGAGCAAATTTGGTGAGACGTGGACAATTGGCAGCAGTCTGTATACTTCGAATAGTCCTTTCTACAACATACATCTTCTCTGCTTCTCCTAGTCAAAAGGGATTAGTCTCACGGGGAACTATGTACATTCGGTATAATGAATTGGGCCGGGTGCCCGATATACTGGTTTTGTAACTGAAAAGTAGCTCTGTGAGTGAATCTGGGATCAACTCTTAACCCGATTATGATAAAATTGGACGGGCGCTATATTTTGTCGCCCTCATTTGAGCTCAATTCACTTTCTAAAATTTATTTTAACTTTGTATCCATTGTTGAAACAACTTAAGGCATTTTTCTCCTCCTCCTTCTTCTTCTTCTTTTTGAGTAATAGTGATTTTATATGGTATTTGTGAATATATTTTAAGGTAGTTTATGATGGTGCTTTATTTTTTTTACTTTTGCTTAGGATTTCTTTTTTTTTTCTTTTTCTTAATTGCAAAATGGGCTCGTTAGATTTATTGTTGTTTTGACAAATTGATGATTGGGGTTTGTTCTGGAGTAGATTTAGGTATTAAATCATATACTGGATTGTTAAAACTCGAAGAACAAATTTTTGTTTCTGGGCAGTTTGCACTTCCTATTTGGCCTTAAGTGCATACGTTGGTTGCACTTCACACTTTTTCGCCTTAAGTGCATCTGAAGTGCATTTTTTCACTTCAGACTTATTTGCCTTAAGTGTAGGAAAACGTTTGTTGCACTTCAGATCTTTTAGCCTTAAGTGCATCTTAAGTGCAATTTTTCACTTCAGACTTATTGGCCTTAAGTGCATAAAAACGTTGATTTCATGACGAGCGCAAAACACCACTTAAAATTATGCTCGCTAATCAAATATAGTATAGTATAATATCATATCCACATGGATTGGAGTTAAACAGTATTCTCGTAGTTTCTAGCTTGATTGCTATCCAAGAAGACCAACAGCTGAGATTTGTGAGATTAACACTAAAATTAACTAAGAATCTAAAGTTATTGACTAATGAAAATCGAAGCAAGGATAAGCAAAGAAAGATATCAATGGGAGAAAATATGGTTTTGATAGGATAGGTGCAAGATAACTGTCTGAGATTTAACTCTAGATAATTCACCTCTAACGTTCAAACGAGTCTCACGAATTGACTCAATTATTAGTTCAATTCTTTAGTAGAAACTCGATTAAGTCTCAACCTCACGAGATGAACCAATTTAAGCTTTGTGAAGATATGCAAGAATGCGAAGTAGATTGGTCTTTTGGAGAACCTCTCTCGATTATCCTTCTGACTAGGTTTAATCAATGATTCAACTAGATTCTTTTCGATGACTAAGAAGAATTAATGAACTCAACCAACAATATAATGCAGAGATATCACAAGTTATGCCTCTCTCGATTACATGAATAAGTGAATATAAATGCAAATATTAAATCATCCAAAAACGCTTCAATATATAAAACTAGAGTTATAATCTATAAATAAATATCAATACACCAAATCCATTAAACTCTAAAGGAAACTACTCAATAGATATGGAGTAATTCATCATAATTATAATAAAAGTTTAGGAAAACATAAATTCAATCCAAACTCGGGTCTTTAGTGAGGAAGGAATGATGAAATCCTCGTCTTATTGCTCTTCCGACTCCTCCTTATCCTCCTTAGGTCGAATATGTGTCAAAAGTCTATAAAATAATATTTTTTTCATGTATTTATACCAAGTAGGATCGGACCCAGACGAAACCACCTTCTCCTAGCCGAAATAGGACATTGGCTCTATAAAATTTGCACAGGTGCGCGCGCATGGGGCGACGCGCCATGCGGGGCATTAGTGAGGAAATCCAGAGAGCTCGACTTCTGACAGGCAACCAAAATTACACTACTGTGGCGCACCACGCACCGCCCCACGCGCCGCAGCAGTGCAAATTTCTCTGAGCTTCGCTTTTTGCTTGATTTTTGATGTCCAGGCGTGGTTCTCGGCCCCCGAATGCGATCTCGGCTTTTAATCCTTTGGGCTTTTACTCAGACTTCAAAGCTCCAAATAGCTCGAATTAGCTCCATAACATCTACACCACTCGGAATCACTCCTACAAGGCATAAAACACACAATAAGTATAAAATACTAGTGATTAAAGCTCAAACACCCTTAAAGTGGAGTAAATATGAGTGCAATGAGCGGCTAAAACATGAGATTATAGCATACCATCAATACCCCACACTTAACCATTGCTCATCCTCGTGCAATCAAATTATATTTTATATAAATACGACCTTTTTAAACAACTCTCCTAACTGATCACACCAAAAATATTTAAAATAGATTAAGCACAATAATGTAACATCCTAGCCTCAAGATTTAACTCAAAAGCACCACGTATTTTTCACAACCCGCTCACTTACTCTAACACAGAGGTCAATGACATTACCTTTCCTTCATGAATCACGTGTCTTCACACAACAATAGAGAGTAGTTCCTGTCACGACCAAATTCTATTATAGGTCGTGATGGCACCCAACACCGTTGTTAGACAAGCCAACATTGATCAACTAGTGGTTTCCCGTTTAAATAAATTATTAAGTACTAACATTTTCTTATTTGTTAACAAGATTTAGAAATTTGCAAGTGTAACATAAATAAGCGGAGGCGATAAGTATTAATCAAAATCATGTAAGCAAACCCAAAACCATAAGTCTACTAGTGTGTGTGTGCCAAGACCTGGTGTCACAAGTGTATGGGCAATGTAGTAGAATATACAACAAAATGCTAGCCTACTGTCTGAAAGAAAATAGACAGAAAAGTAAAACATGAGGGAGACTCCAGCTACTGCAGAACGGCTCGGAAGCCAGCTCACCGTAAAGTCTCGGGGTGGGGATCAACTACGCGCGCCGGACGGGTAACTAGATGCACCTGCCTCAGATCCTGTACAATTAAGTACAGAAGTGTAGAATGAGTACATAAACAACATGTACCCAGTAAGTATCCAGTCTAACCTCGAAGAAGTACTGACGAGGGATCGACTTTGACACTTACTATGGGCAAAAATAATATAATCAAAGTATTATACAAAGCATGGATTTCATGAATAATACTGAAAGCTCAATAACAGGAAATGATGTGTTCTTCTTTCACAATTTATAGATTTCAAATTCAGTTTTCATTTAACAGCTTACGTTTCAAGACTTCTAAGCAGTATCATCCACAGAGAGTTCCAAATAATTATCATGCGCAAATTATGCCGAGCTCGTACGGCCTGATCCAACATAATATTTAAACTATGCACTGCCGAAGGATCAAATGGCGCAAACCATAGATGTATCTATTTACTACCGAGGCGTTCGGCCCGATCCACAAATAGCAATTTATTTCCAAAGGAAGCACAAAGTTTACATTTACAGTCAAGCATTCCCTTAAATCTTTCAAGCAAGTGAATTTAACCTTTTACACTTCTTTTGTCAAGTCTTGACGACTTAAGTAATTGAATTAGCAAGTAAGGGCACAAACATTTCAAGTAACGCATAATACGGGTCTTAAACTACCCGGACAATAGCATAATACTAGCTACCTACGGACTCTCGTCACCTTATACGTACGTAGCCCCCACAAATAGGTACACACATTTATTTAATTCACCTATGGGGTTAATTCCCTCTTACAAGGTTAGAAAGGAGACTTACCTCGTCTCAAGGCCTACTTCCCAATTCAAGAATGCACTCAAACCTCCAAATTTGATGCCAAACGACTCGAAACTAGTCAAACATTATGTAAATTAATCAATCTATGCTCAAAAGTTCATATCCCCACTATAAAAGTGATTACCCAACCCAAATCGCAAGATTCCTAAAATTCACCCCCGGGCCCACATACCCGGATTCCAGAAATTTTTGAAGAAAGTTGTTACCCATAACCTTAGGATCATAAATATTTGATTTGTACTAAGTTCCATAACCAATTTCGTGGTCAAATCTAATTTTTATCAAAAACCTAGGTTTTCATCTAAACCCTTGATTTTCACTAATTTTTACATGTTAATCTACCCATAATCTATGTATTTAACTCATGTTGTGTAGTAATTACTTACCTCAAAGTGCTAGGTGAAAACCCTCTTCCAAAAGCTCCAAAAATCGCCCAAGAGATGAAGTGAAATAAAATAAATGGCCTAAGTCCCGCATTAAAAGAGCTGGGCACAGGCCTCTAATGTCGCATTTGCGACACCAGGTTCGCAAATGTGACAAAACACTTGCAAATACGAAGCCTGGCTTTGGCTGCTCAGGTCGCAAATGCGACGCAGGGGTCGCAAATGCGATCACTGCTGAGGTCGAAAAAGCGGCTCAGGTGTGGCAAAAACGAACAATGTCCAGTCAAGCTTCTTCGCAATTGCGAAGCTCTTCTCGCAAATGCGAGGTTCGCATTTGCGAACTACTTCTCGCATTTGCGAGACCTGCAACTGATGCCAAGAAACACCAGAAATCTGGTGTGTGTTTCATCCCTTTCGAACGTCCGAAACTCACCTGAGCCCTCGGGGATCCACACCAATCACCCACACAAGTCTAGCAACATCATACAAACTTGCTCGCGCGATCGAACCACGAAAATAACATCAAAAACCATGAATTGGACGCCAAAACGCATGAATTTACTCATGAACTCCAAAAACTTCTAAAACACTTCCGCGCGTCCGACTGCTATCAAATCAACTCGGAATGACGCCAAACTTTGCATGCAAGTCTTAAATGATATTACGGACCTATTCCAACTTTTAGAACTAGAATATGAACCCGATATCAACCTACGGACCACCGAATCCACTTCCGGACGCGCTCCTAAGTCCAGAATATCCATACGGAGCTATTCCCAGGATCAGAATATCAAACGGACGTCTAGAATGTAAAAATCCATTTCAACCCAAACTTACAGAATTTGCTCAAAATGCAAACTTTCACTATTAGGCACCGAAACGCTCCTGAGTCATCCAAAATCCGCTCCGAACATATGCCCAAGTCCGAAATCATCATACGATCCTATTGGAACTGTCAAATCCCAATTCCGAGGTCTTTTACTCAATATATTGACCAAAGTCAAACTTGGCCTTTTAAGCCAACCTTAAGGAACTAAATGCTCCGATTTCAACCCGAACTCTTCCAAATCCCGAACTAACCATCTCG